ACAGGCAGACGCTGGCGACGCGTGAGAAGGTGCTTGGTGTTGAGCATCCAGACACGCTGACGAGCGTGTACTGCCTCGCTCATCTTCTTGCAAGTCGGCATCGTTACGATGAATCTACTGCGCTGTATGAAAGAGCATGCGCTGGGTACAATGCCACTCTTGGGAAGGATCATCCAACTACTCGCGCATGTCGCCAACACTATTCACAGATGCTCTCGTCTCAAGAGCAGGACCCGCTTGACGTTCCTCCAGACATTCCACAGTGGCGTAAGCAGACAAACGGGCAAGGATCAAGACTGTCACGTGGGCTCGCGAAGATAGGCCTTAGACGTTCAAAGGACCATACATAATAACGAGACCAGTTGTGTATTATTATACAGAATGCTATATTGATGCGTCCATCTATAAGAACAAGCATACTTCTTGTCACGGTACAGGCTGGGCGGTAAATAAGCGGACGTATGCACGAGTTATGCTTAAAGCGAGCTTTAAGCCTAGTCGGTCTGGCGTGAGTTGCGGCGAAAAGCTAGCGTCAGCAGCAATAAATTACGGCTAAGCTGCTTCAGGCTGGATGAGCGGATCCTCCTCACCTGTTAATTCCAAGCTGGTAGACTTTAAATCATAACAGAAACACAACTGCCTCTCGGACGCTATCGCCGCGCTCGGGATTGGATCGCCATATAATGAGCCGCAACTTGACAGATTTTTGGCAGGATGCATGAACTTTTGGTGCACCTACGGCCGTCTGAAGTAACACGCTTGTAGTATGCTCGTGGCAGATTATAGTATTGCACGGTAAGCAGGAGCTATTTTTAAAAGACGTTAAGAGGAAATCCAGTTTACAATTTAAGGCTATTATTCCGAGAATATCTATGCTCCTGACTTGTTATTGAGTTTGTTGTGTTAAGAAGTATATGCGGCATCTCGTTACGGCGGGCGTCTCGCCACACAGGGATAGACGTTACAGGGTTTCTACGGGTGACGAATTCTTCAACGTCATTATGCAATTTGCGGCTCCTAAGCCACGTCTTACTAGGGCGAGAATCAAGGTGTATCCTTGGGAAAATTTAGAGCGAGCTCTAAGAGGAGATTAATATCAATATGTATGGTATATCCAGTAATATTTGTTTCCTATAGCTTACATGTTACAGGTTTCCGTTCAACATGCTACTCCAGTGGATTCTGCTGTTACTCTATCCACCAAGCTCAAAAGGAGCACATACACGAAGACACCACCATTTCAGCACTCACCCGGACTGGTGTGGGGCATGTGGAAACAAATGAAAAAGGGGAACAATCTCCAAATAGCTGCCATCGTGCGGCCCGTGGATGGGTTTGAGGATATGTTAATCGAAATTCTCGATTGGACTAGCTTTAAGGAGCGAGGAAGAAGAGATACAATATCTGAAGAGTTATCTGAGCAATTAGAAAGCCAATCAATGACTCTAGACCTTTTAAAATGTAATAAGGAACTCTCACGACAAAATAAGCAGCTCTTAAGAACTAATGAGAAACTTTCACGACAAAATAAGGAGCTCTTACGAAGTAATGAGAAGCTTATTCGAAGTTAGGTGGCATTAGAATGCGCATTGCGAATATATACTTAACTTGTTTGCAGGAAACGGCACAGCAGGCGGCGCTTTTCCTTCAACAGAAAGCTCCTCACTCAACAAGCGCGCGAGAGTAGCCTGCTCGGGCTGCCGAACCCGGAAACGCAGATGTGAGCATGAAAGCGTGAAGAACGAGGTCAGAAGTTGAATGGTTGAGTATCCTCTGGTTTTTCCTTCTGATGTTCTGCGTTTTTCATCTGATGATATGTCGATATTCCCTTGCGAATACACATTCATTCCAAGAATTAAGCTGTTCTCCTTCCTGTACAACCTGTGCCAGGATTGGAAAGCCTTTGGATTCTTCATCACTCCAAATTTTCGTCGTATCCTGTCATTCGCAACTTTCCTCTTTAAACCATTCGCCTACGCCCACGCCCACAAGGGCCATCGCTATGTCCGCAGAACGCAATCAGAGCCCGAGCAAGCGCGCCCGAATCGATGACGAAGTACTCCCTGGGCAGAGCATTTCAGTGGTGTCGTACCCTCTGACACTCGAGGAGCGCAGCACATTCAGCCCGCCCGTCTGCGAGGCTTGACGGTTATCAAGTCCCTCGCGCGGGAGACCTGCGGTTTGCCGACCCGCCGATACGGAAAGAGCCCTTGAATAGAGTGAAGAATCCCATACCTCGGAGGGTTTGGGACGAAACCATGCAACAATGGAAAAAGTTGTATCGTACTACTTTTGGGGATGATAATCATTGATCCGCTCCTCAACCGCGACCTGCAAGCGCTTTCCACCAGCTTTACCCGACCTTTCCCGCTCCACCTCCGCCTGCTAGTCTCAGGATTACTTACGCCGGACAGCGCTGCGATAACTCGGCATCTCCGGCTCTGTGTCCGAACTAGGCTTCCAACCTCCGGCGGTGCTTTACAAGACCAACGACGGTGCCCTCTCCGCCGCGCTCTGGCGCTCTCTCCACCGCGCTCTCTCCAACGAGACGGGAGCCCGGTGGCGAGGCCCCGCCTTTTTTTTTCCATTGAAAATCAAATCCTGCATACCACTCCGACGGCCCAATGAGGGCGACCTCCTTGGACGAAGTCCGCCGCGCACCGTAGCGTCGTTATGTCTGAGCGCGCTGTCTAATCGTTGGGGGGATTTGAGGGTGTTCCCGACCCAGCACTCGCTGCATTGCTACTCCAACTCCTAGTCATAGAAGTTGTCACCTCTTACGCAGATGAAATCGGCATCGACACCCAGACGACACAATCAACAAAACGTTCACATAATCTTTGAGCAGGAGCGGCTTGCTAGCATTTGGAACGGAGCTTACGAGCCGTGGGCTTCCACGCTGGCAGTTTGGTGTCGCGCTCGTGGAGAGAATTGCCCTTTCAGAAGGGGGAGCGAATGGGCCATATCGAGATGCGGTTTTGTCGATTGAAAGGCTTCTTTTCTAGAACAGCAGACGGGGTGGGTCAACGGCGCCTGGATAGCCTAAGGGAGTGGAAATTGCAGGGACAATCATGTGATACCGGTTTTATGTTCGTTGTTTGCGTCTGCATGAATGGTGGTCAATGTTGCGCCTGCGTATAGGCATCGGCATTATTGTCCCTCAAGACTCTCAGCTACAGCCGAAGCCTGTGGCATCCTCTTCTCCACCCATGTGATCCAAGCCTGAGGGTTAAGAGTCTCCGCAAATAGATGATCGCCCTGCTTGGGAACTTTATCCGCGGAATCCAGTCCTTGAAGCTGCTGCAACATTGAGGAGAGAACAGACTCGAGCTCTAATTCTTGACCATGTTCTTTGAGTTGCGAGGCGTACAGGCCCCTTAGGCGGAGGGTGTACGGATCAGTCGGGCCAAGTTCAGCTTCGCACCGGTGAATAACATTAGTAAACAGCGCAATTTTGTCCGCACTTTCTGACCAGCATACGCGATCTCCCTCTATGAGTAGTGCCGAGCGCCGATCTGAATCCAAAGGGGCGTGTGCTGACGCCTCGAATTGGGCAAGAATTTCAAGCGAGATATGACTCCTCCCATGCTTACTCCATGCTCGGGCGAGTGCAAGAGCGAGAACAGGAAGAAGTCTTGGAAGTTTGAATATCGCTGTGTTGGGCTTCGGGTCAGGATCGGTGTCTTTGACCACCTTGGCTAGTTGTTCCTGGGAAACGTCAAATGGCTGGTGTTGGGCGAGCATTGCATGGGCCGCTTTGTTGTTCTAGGTGAATAAGCTTCTGTTGATACAAGGGAGGAGCATTCTTACCGCACGTCCCACCACGGCGAGGAAAGTCGAATTCAAATCATCAAGATCCCTATTGCATGCTGCAGTCCACCTCTTATCAGGTTCTCCTCTGAACTTTACAAGATTGAAGTTAATAAGGACAACGAAGCCGTCGATGGGACTAGGCCCATGTCGCTTAATACCGTCTCGAATAAGTATGTTGCGCCCGTTGATGTTATTGTGTGCCAGGCCCGCGCAATGGATAGCCTTAACAGCACGGCGTAAAGCCTCCTTACACTGCAGCAAGAGCTCTCCTGGCAAATTTCCGCATATTCCAACAGTGTTCTTCCGTATATGCGCTCGATGTATAAGATTTGATGCTTATCGTCTTGCCCGTAGTACTTCGGCACATAGCCGGACAGGGCATCGCATTTCCGTAGCCTTCGGTATGCGTAACGCTCGACTACGTAGTACTGGCTAGAAAGGCCAAGGGTGCCGTCTTTGTGGTCAAACTTTCTTCTGTTAGCTGCATCTCTCCGAGCACTCTGCAGGGTCATGTAACGAACCTGCTTTGCTGCACATTCTACGCCATTGTACAGCACCTCATTCACAGACGCAGCTAGTCCGTATCCTAGACGCGCATGTTTAGGAAAAGCCTCGGGGGTTGCTACGTGTTTCTTCGGCTGGTTGGGTGCTGGGTATCGGCTATTGGCGTTGGATCGGAAGATGCGACTTGCATCCACCTGCTTCAAGGCTTTCCCGCGGTCTGCGTGGGAGAAGGAGGATAGGCTTGCGCGCTTGCGCGAAAGGGAGGCGTGCATATAGGCTTATTTCGAAATACAGTTCTCGGCCCTCTTAACTACTCTTCTTCTTTGGAAAGACCACTTTGCACAGCACTAGTACCAGTGGAAGCCTGAATTACCCTTCCCACATTTCTTGCACCTTGCTTGAAGGGCTTCCATTGGCTGGTTCGAGCTACATGAAATGCACTCTCTATAGAAAGGGGCCTCAACGTAACTCCTTAACAAACCCTTCGTAAACTCGGGTATTTCAGTGAGAATCTCTTCATAAAACCCTGCAATGCCCTCATCCTCCAGCATTTTTGGCAAATTCTTGCGGATTGCCATGCAGGCCGCATCGCGCAGCTGTCGGGTGGTGGTAGGGGTCCTTCCGTACACGTCGTGAATAGATTCTAGGAACTCTCTTGGCCTCCAAACGGCGCACCTTGAAGAGTACTTCTCCTGAGCTATAGTACTCAAACCCTGAATGTCATACTCATCTGCTAGTGCAAACATTCGAGCATGGAGCTGGAGCAAGGATATGTCCGTCTCCTCTGGCAGGTTGTCGTCATAGTCCATATCGTAGAAGAAACTAACCATTTTCTTCAACTCTACGTGAGACACATGCCCCATTTCAATGACGACAGTAAAATTTTCCTACATATATGTTAGCAGCGAATAAGAATCATATGGTGTTGTCACCTTGAATCCTCCAGTGCATGCTTTGTAGAAGACTTTGGACTGAGGACAAACGACGATACGATGAACATTGAAGCTTTCAACGTCATGATTAAACACAAGGTCAGTAAATTCACCTCGGTCTCGCAATCTATGCACGGTTGGCGCCCTGGAATATAAGGAGATCGGATTCCATACGTCGAGATAGCCGAGAGAAGTCGTTTGCTGAGAGCCTGAGCCCTCGATGCCATGTCCTATCGGACTCGATTAATTTTCGAGCAGGTCTTCAAAACCGGTAGAGAAATAGAGGGTGCGTGCGTAATCCTTTTAAGTTGAAGTTTGAAGAGCTATCGCGGAGACATGCATTATCATCCTCATATAGAATAGGAACCGATATCTTTACAGCTACCCCGCATTTCGCTTAACAGATGTGACGACGATGCAAAATCATTGCGGGGTAGATCGTCGATCGCCGCTACACTCAACCGCAACTTCCTCAATTTAAATCGACTATGGCTACTCAAACCTCCAATTACCAACCCCCAGCTTACAAGCCAACCTGTGATTTTTCACTTCCCACCACAGCAGATCTTCTAAGCCCAGCAATCACCTTCATCAACCCCACTGTCGCGGCTCCATTCCCCGCAATCCAGCGCCTCTTTGGTTATCTGGCCCAAAACGCCGCTGCTGTCGCAGCTTTTAACGACACGTACGCTCTCCGCGGCATCTTCAAGACTGCTGCCACCACAGACCCTACGTGCGACCAGAAGCTCACCATTGACCTATCGCCCGCCCGAGCCGCGCGCATCCCACCCGCTCTCTAGGCCGAGCTTGCAGCACACGGACTCGCTGAGATTCTCAGCTTCTTCACTGCTATCACAGCCCACCATGTTCCACTAATCCTGGCCTCTCTCAGCGCCGTTGCCGGCCGCGACCTTGTCCCGCTGCACGCCGAGCTCAATGTCAACTTCCGCCTCATTGACTACACCCCTGCCACGGCATCCCCGGCCAGCCAGAATGGATGCGGCGCCCACACTGACTACGGCACCTTCAGCATCATCTTCCAGGACGGCACCGCGGGCCTTGAAATGGAGACACCCGGGGCGCCCGGCGTGTGGGTGCCCGTGCCGGGCGACGCGACTGTGCTGCTGTGTGGGTGGTGTGCAGTCGTGCTAAGCGGGGGGAAGATGGCCGCGGCGCGTCACCGCGTTCGACGCGTGCCTGGGGTGCGCCGATTGTCAGCAGTCTTGTTTGTGGCACCGGACCTGGATGTCAAGATGGCGCCGGCAGAGAGAGTCGAGGTATTTTCCGAGACTGTCAATAAGGGGCTTTTCGATGTGCGTTGGTTCAAGGAGGTCATGGGAAAGAAATGGAGATACCGAGAAGGCAATGAGAAGTTGGGAGCCGGGGAGGATAATGTTATTGAACAGGATGTTGAAGTAGAAGGCTTGATATGGAAGTAGAATTGTTTCCGGGCAGAGCTTGGGTGCTGCCGCAATGGTGGAATAGGTCAGATGAAGTTAGCTCGTGAGATATAGTAATGGGACGCGCACATTTTCCTCCATTTTAGCTCTTTGTGCCAATGGACAATACATGCTCAATGCTGCAGATGAGGCAACATTAAATATGCTTCCGATTCAGGTCAGCTCCACCCCGGCACTATCTCTCTGTCCTTCTTTACCTCTCTTATCTTTGCAGTGCAATAGAGCCGCCCAAGCCGCCTCTACCTTTGATCTTCGCGTTACGAGCCCGTCAAACAGGTTCAGGCGGCCTTCTAGCATTTCATCGGCAACAACAACCTCGTGTTCTACGCTACACCCATCTTAGCGACATTGCTGTCTTCACTGGGCCAGGGCTGGCAAGATGTTCCGGACGTAATAGCCAAGATGCTTGCTAAACACGAGCTAGAGTGAGGTGCAATCGTGAGAAGCAGTCAGTGCGTACTCACCAGAGAGGTGAATATGGGTGGTCGCTGCCATATGCTAGCCCAAGGTAGGTAAAGCGTACGCCAAGAGTTCGCACGCTCTCACGATCCCCCGGTTTTCAAGATCCTCCTGTTCGCAAGATCCTCTCGCTCTCACGATTCTTCCGATCGCACAGTTCCTCTCAATCGCACGGTTCTTCTCGATCGCACGACCCTCGCACTCTCACGATCCTCGCGCTCGCATTCTCCTGTGTTAGACTTGGATGGGAATACAGAGAAGAGCCTCTGGCCGCATGGACGACGTTATTCAAGGTGGCTGGGCCTCAGCCGAAACACGACGGTGTGGCCCTAGGCCTTCGAGCTAGCCCTCGAGCTGGCGGTTGGTGAGATCAAAGGGCTCATCACACTCTTCGCTGTGGGCGGCGTTGCATCACGGTGGAGGGCCGGGACACCCCTGTTCGGCGGCGGAATCATCTTAGCGAGGGCGGGGCGTGTCCGGTTCAGACCGCAATCAACGGGGAGGGAGAATGAGGGCGTCGTTCTACGCCGCTTGGAAGGTAGTCTGGTTGGTAGGCTGGTGGACATGGTGGGTGGACTAGTGGACAGCTTGGCGTCGGCCCAAGGACGCCAACGTGTCAAGGGATAGTGCAACGAAACTCGCTGCACTAGACGGTTACAGCCTTACAGACAAGAAACTTCTTTATTGGTTACTAAACCAACTTTTGAGATAGGCCATGCGCAGATTTTACCCGTTGTTGAAGTGTGAGTCCATGCTAAAACTGCGATTGGTCCAGCCACCGGCTTGCAAGGCAGATGCTATCGAAGTTCATGTAAGCTTCAATGCTACGTGTCGAGGTCTATAAGAACAAAGAAGAATACCCCAAAACTGTTGTTCAGTCTTCAACCCGAATTCTTCGATGACCTCTAACTCATTACGTTTGTTACTCTTTTGAACATCGCTATTACGCTGCAATACCGCCCTCCACCATGTGTGCAAGCCTTATTCGCAAGGAACTTGCCCGGCCTGCTTTGACGAAAAGAGTGCAACTGCCTTACTTGGTGCTTGGCTGCTCCCAAACCTTCAATCCAACCTCTCCAAACAACCCGCACCACCCCCCTCTCCGACCTCTCCAAACCCACCAAACTCCAACAACTCCACTACCGCCCCCCCTCCTCCGTCGCCACCCACCTCCTCTCCACCCTCCCTCCATTTCTCGACTACAACGCCCGTCTCAGCCAAAATATGGCCAGATTCCTACTAAAACACCAACATTTCGTCTATATTCCAGGCTTGGGCGTCTCTACAAGGCGAACTGGTACTGTGACTGTGGCCTTCAAGCTACCTGGGAAAGAGTAAACAAGTGTGGCCCCAGCAAAGGCAAAAGGTGTAAGTCGTGCCTTCAGCGACTATCGCGTCGTATTTAACTAAAAGATTATCAGTTCTTAGATGTCCAAAACACATCGGTAAACAATGCCCGTTTATTCTCTGGGAAGAACACGAGGCTATAGCAAAAAAGTGGTTCAAGTGTTCAAGGCCGCTATAGAGGTGGAGGAATCAGATTGTGTTGACCTCCTCGACTGTGCAGAGCTGGCTACTGCTTTCGAGACCCTCTAGCTGCTCCGTTGACTCCCAGCCTTGACGGCTGGGGATGTCGCGGCTCCCAAGGCGTCGCGGCGGAATTATCAAAATTCCCTACGGACTTTTTTTACGTACTGTTATAAATGCCGTATACATCTATCCTCTGCACGCCTTCTAGCTCCCTACACCTCCGTCCTCCGCACGTCTCCTAGCTCCGAGCAACCTCTCCCTCCGCTCCGCACATGATTCCTCTTGATCGTAGTGAAGTCTTGGAGGTTCCTGAAGGATGAAAGAGATACCACGTGACACGACTTTTATATAATTTATTTATTAAATTTGATAGAACAATCGTCACATGTACTCCCAGATCTGCCGTTCAGTATATCGTCTATGTTTTGCAATTCTGGAGATGTACTGCAGCTTGCCATGGGCGTTTCTGCATATTCTGGCATCTCTTCATCGTGATAAGAATAGCCTCCAAGCGGATGCTGCCGCGCATTCAACCATGTCGTCTACCGGGAAAGGATCTTCTAACGTAGTGGCAGAGGATCTCCGCTGTCGTTTGAGCTGGACTAGTCGGTCGTGATGACGGGCTACTATCGGTAACCTATAAGTTGAGCGAGGTGGAGACTTCACAGGGTTTTATGGGCTTTCCGCCCGGGAAATAATACGCATGGGTGACGTCATCCGAGGTGGCTGACTCTCCCAAAACGCATACGAAATGATGTAGCCGCCGAACAAAACGAGAATGGTTCCAAGGGGCGGGTTGAGCGGCTTTACCGGCGTCAAATTCGCTAGAGATGCTACGCTTATGGCGATTCGTCGCGCGTTGTAGTGTTGATGTCAAGGGGCGATGTTGCCAGGAGCGCAAACCTTCATCTCCTTGGGACGATGCCGCGCCCGTGCATCTCCACACGCTGGAGGGTAGATGCAGATGTTGGATGTGGGGTGGGAGATCTTGTGCTTCAGCAAAGTCTACCTGCGTCACCGCCCGGTACACAACCTCGAGGTCAGTCATCTTCTTTGTGGGTCTGCGGGCCCTCGAGCTGGCGGTTGGCGAGGTCGAAGGGGCCCAGTCCTCATCATATTCTTCGCTTTGAGCGGGCGTTGCCGACAACCACGGGTCGTGTCGCCCGTGGAGTCGCCAAGAGCTCCTTCCGCGAACCACACGAATGACTCCTGTCCCGACCATTGAACACCCTTAAGCGGATGTCGCTCCATGTGGAGCTCCTAGTCCTATACCTCATAGCAAACAATCTCTTTCCACGCGAGGTTCTTTGTATTCTAGTTAGACCAACCCTCCAGTCTATGCAAATGAATAGAGCTTCGGAAACAGACCTAGGCAGAAACTCGGGGTCTTAAGTGGTGGCAGCACCACCTCCGCCGCCCCTGCGCTGCTGAGAACTCTCTCCTACCTTTTTCACCACCTCTTCCATCTCCCACTTCTTCTTGGCCTCATTGCGCTTTCGCTGAGATTCCTCGGCTGCCACGCGCATACGTTCCTCCTCCTCGGAGGTTGGAACTTTGATGAAATTGCCACTGTCAGTCATGTTGGTGTTTGAGGAGTTTCCAAGGTATCGAGCTGATCTGATATCGTACACGGAAACTCCACTCATTCTCCAGAAAAGCGAGCTGCACACTCCTTTTTGTATGCCTCTAGCTGTTCCATCTTCGTCTGTATAAGTGGCCTTATCTCCGCACGCGTCTCGTCGTCAAGCGACTGAACGCCTGTCTCACCGTCATGCAACACTAACATAGTATAGATGCTGGAAATACCTTAGGAAAGACAATCTCCGTTCCTATACGGCCGTGTCCGTCAGCACACTGTACACCTTCTTTGACTGGCTACTCAGTCAGCGCCGAGGGAAAGGAGGAAGGAAATGCCGGGGGACCAAGATCGCTAGTTCCCTTGGTACATACTGGAAGGTTTACCGCCTGGTGTATGAAAGAGCAACTGGTGTTAAGCTGGATGGGCAGATGAATCGGAGCATGCACGAGGTATGAACGTCCGGCCTCCTGTTTAAGACCTCATACGCGTGTCAAGCCTAACCTAAAGGGCAGGTGCTGAGAAGGCTAGCGAAAAAGCACAGTCTAAAGAAGATAGGTCGAGATAAGGCCTGTATGTATGTAGAGGATCAGACCCTAGTGCTGCAAACAAACCTAGCAACGACCGAAAAGAGATACACCCACGGACGCTATAGGATACAAGCCCAACTCTATCTACAGCTTGGTGGTTTTACAGCAAATCGACCACGAGCTATCCTCAGTCTCTGCTATCGGCATATTCAGGTTACGCTGCTCCGGGATCCAGAGGGTCGGCCTTATCAAGTATTACTAGAGTTCACCTTTGAATTCACAAAGGAGTTCCTTGGGATTAAAGATATGTAAGTCCCTGAATTATTCAGTTCTGCCCGAGATCTACACATTCTTAAAACTGATAAGAATGCTGACACGTTTGTAAGGAATACCTTCCCTCTCCCTGAAATTATCTACGATAAGTCTCTCATCTTTAGTCCGCATGTCTTCCTCCTTGGGGTGCTTTTTAGCGATTAGGCGTTCGCAGCATACAATCTGACATCCCCAGAGGAATTAAGTAGGCTTTTTATTCCGCCAGGCCGCAATAAGCTACCATTGCGCCTTAATCAGGAATTAGACGATATCCCGGTGTTTCGGAAAGCGGTAGAGACCCCAATTGGTTGAGTTATTTCTAACGACGAGCCTCTTCCATACAATACCTTGCTACCCTGGATTAAAGCTTTAGGGAAAATTACGGGGTTTGCGCAAGTCGCCCGTTCTTATTCGCTGAGATATGCTGGAGGGAAGGCCTTCAATGAGGATGGTAAGCTCCGCGAGTTGTTGTAGGCAAGATGCAGAATTAACGTAGTACATAGGCAACGTCAACGAGGCGATGCAGAACCTGATGATGGGGCACGCCAGCATACGGACGTTTTTGAAGCACTACCTCTCACGGCGCATCACGGTTGACATACAGGCTGTCGTGCGAGGCCTCCGGCCCCAGAACGCGATAATGCGGGCGGCTTGTACCATGAGTCGTTCGATCGATCTTCGTCGGCCACGACGGCTTACAGCAGAACAATCTGAATCAGTAAACGATCATCCTACAGTTCGTTACCTGCTCCAAGAACGAGAGACTTAAACGTACCCTCTAAAACGCAACAAAGCATCCAATGTATAAAGAGCTCAATCGCAAAATCATCCAGGAAAGGCAGCGCCAGCGACATGCCCTTCTTCAGGATGTCATGGAACGCTGGGAGTACGAGCAACCTGTGCGTGATGTTGAGCAGCAGCTTGCCGGCATCGAAAGTAAAAACGAGGTCGTCATAGTACAGCCTCAATATGCCATGCTCCCGGCACAGAAGGAGCTAGCTGACGCTATTATGGCCCCGCCGGGAATCACTCTGAAAGCAGAGATATGCCGGCGTAATAGAGGCATCCGAGCCGTCACGGAATATTGTGGGGTCGAGGAGGGCGGAATGAACTCTATTTGAGCAAAGCGACGGAGCGGAAACGTTACCCTACCGGCCAAGAGCCAGTTGGAACATGACGAAGAAGCACTAGAAGTAGCAAAGGTGTCGGTGTACAACAAAGAGAAGAGGCCGAAAAGATGTTGGAAATGCATCGGCAATCCCAATCTGCCAACCGGAGAACGGATATACGAATTCAGCTGTGCAAGCGATATCAGCAAACATTTCAAACGGAAGCACTCGCAATACATTAAGAGAGGGGAGTCTCTTGGCTGCGAGCTTTGTAAGGTGCCCCTGGCAAACAAGGTGCACTTGCAACGACATGGCCTAGATGTCCACGGTACGGTTACGTAAGTACGGACTTGTACTCTTTCTCTAGTGGGCAGTGCCACTCCCTTCATGAAACCCCATTTTCCCCGTGCCACACCCTCCTCGTCGCGAGCAATCGCCGGTGCGACCGCCCTCTGCGTCGCCTGCAACACCAGAACCCCTCGAAGGTCTATGCAAAAGGTATTACAATCGATTCCGGCGGCGCAGGCTACAACTGGGCGCTCGGGAAGCGTCGCAGAGAGGAGGACTAGGTGGAACACGGGAGAGGTGGAGGTTGAGGGCGAGGGCGAGGGCGAGGGCGAGGGCGAGGCTACACGCTCGAACGGCACACGGGAACGGCGCTAAGTCCGGGTAGGAAAATGAAGTTGGTCGACTTCGCCAAATGATGATTCTGTGTTGCTCAGAGCTTGAGCTGGGCTGATTTTCGGACTTGGGTCATCTTTTCACGGATTTCTCGACAACCACTCGCCCCAAACCTTAGCCCTCTTGCATGCTATATCCTCAGACCTATCTTAAACAGCTCTAGAAGGTTCATTACAATCGAATATATGGTTGTAGTGTCGTAGCCTCAGCAGTCGTGTTGTGCAACTTCGTGATTTCCATGACGAAGCCAACTTTGATTTTCCTTGCTGATTAAGCCGGATTAGTAGTTAACCCGGCGGGAACCGTCACGTCACGCATCTGCAGAATATTGACCACCAGCATATTGATCAGTCTGATGAGTGCAATTGAATCTACAGAATTATCTTGGGAGGCGCTGCAGTCAAAATGAATTTATTATGGCGTTGTTGAAGTGATGCAGCCCCACGAAGATGCGGTCCCATGGGCACCTCCGTCACCTCCGAAACCTCACCACCACGCCAAGAATCACGACTTTCTGTGCTCCGCACTCAATTGGTCGTCTATTAACCTGCAGCTAAGTGGATATGGCACCTAATCTGGCTCACTCAGGCCGCTGGCATTGCCTATCCGCTGGCGATTCTGATGCGCCAGTGTCATGGGGCCCATTTTGGCTCGCTCAGGACGCTGACGTTGTTGCCTAGGGCTGCTTTTCACGACCATCACCATCACCACTAGAAAATCCTTCTCGAATCACTAGTCCACGCTATTCTCGAGTTCAAAATACAATGACAACGTCATGCCAGTGTTAGAGTCTTAATTTGGGTGCGATTACTGTACACCTACATCAAGCCATATAGTCCCTTGCCATTCTCCAGAAATCCCCCACAAATTCACCGCCCTCTTCCATATACTTGACAAATTCATCACATTTTCCGATCGTGTCAATCTCGCACACAATATACTCAAACACGAGTTTCCTCAGGTCGTCGAGAGTTCTGTCGTCGCTTCTATCCGGCAGATCTGGGTTCGAGTACGCATATCTCGCGAGCTCAATGATGTCTCCAACGCGCTTTGTGTACAACTTGAAGTCCATAAGTGTCTTGTGCAGCTTGTCGAGGGTTAGCGCTTTGAGTGGCTCTATTAGACGTAGATGCGCAAAACAGTAGAGCCGTGCATGGGCGAGGAGGACTGGCGTGAAGTTTTGGTCCACGGCACTGTTGGATTTGGGTTCGAAGTGCTGCAGGATCAGAGCTTTGGGGCCGCCGTCGTTTAGGTAGTTTCGGCTGTTGAGTTGAGTCCGTAACTGGGCCCTCGAGATGCGCCTTACTTCATATTGAGGCTCAGGAGCCGCCGCGAGCTCAGGTTCATCGTATACCCCACTTTCTTGGGGGTAACCCATCTCCATGGAAGGAAGTTCTGATTCCGGAATAGGTTCTGGTTCGGGAACAGCCACTCGCCCCTTCTTGCCCTTCTTCTTCTTAGGCAATGGAGCCCAATCCCCCCAACCATCATCGTCCCCGTTCTGCTGGTCCTTGCCGGACGTAGAGCTCGGTTCCGGCGGGAGTTCTTCCCACGGAGGTACTGTATAGTCCCCGCGGTAAGCGTATTCGCAGAAGCGGATGAAATCGTCGACCTTAACATCTTCGATCCTCGCACATCGCGTTTCAGATTCCCCCATTCCACCATTAATAAGTGCATCTAGTTGCTGACTGGTAGCAGTAATCGCAGCTGCATGCACCACGATGGACTTTCCCTCCTGGCCGACGAAGAAGGTAAATTGATGTGATTGGATGAAGCTGCCGGGCTTTAGCTTAGTCAGGTCGACATTAGAAATGGAACTTACTTCTCAAAAGTTGACGCCATTTTTTGCATAACAGATTTCAGATGACTTCTGCAGAGTAAGGAATGGGAAAGTCAACTCTCGACTTAAATCAATTCGCAATATGGGAAGCTCAAGAAGACAGACGAGCAGATGCGGGGTAGCACAGCAAACACCTACGTGTTACGCATTCACTGGCTGTTGAAGGCTGATAATGTAACACAGCATTATCGCAATGGCGTCCAACAGCGTATGTCGCTAGGATTTGCCGCCTGCATCTTGCCGCAAAACCTCGATTTCCCACGCAAGTGAGTTGAAGCCAGCGCCTAGTGAAGAACCGGCTTAATGGATTTGAAAGGGCGCCCCAAATATCGGGTCATCACATCTATCCAGAGTTGAATTATATCCGCTCAAGTCATGATCCACAAGTGTAACGGGTCGTCTCTTAGATACCTTCCAAGTACGCTCACTTAGGCAAAGTATCCGTCAAGTCGTCGTCGGGGTGCGATAGTCTTCAAGAAGAAAGGCAAATCAATCTCAGGCAATAAGACGGGTTACTTGCAATAACAATCTTGAAGTCTTGAATTGGAATGTTGAGTTGAACACGAGGTTCCTAGCTATGAAAACGAGTGTGCTTAAATACAAAAGACAACTCCTAAGAAACCTGCGTCCTGTTCGTGGATCGCCCTGATCCCTTCTTGGATCATGGTGATCTACGGCTCGCCCTTAGATCACCCCAATCCCTAAATGATCCATCACGTGACCTCTGGTCCCGTGGTCCTTTAGATCGTTCCCATCCACCAGCAGTCCGTGGGTGAATCTCAGATGCCTATGCGGCCAAGCTTCGTTCCTCGAGGTCCCATGGCCTGATTCTGTGTTATCAATCTGATCTGCTTACTTGTCTCCTCGAATACCTCGGTTTTCGAACTGTTTGTGTTACGGGTTGTAAAAACAAGGTGCTGTTGCCAGATTCCTGGTGTAACTTACGATGCAAGCTTTAAGAACAGGCTCCTTGTACTGGTCCAATTGTCTGCAGTTTCGTAATGGTACATAGTAAGGAACCCCTTTGGGCTCTGTTGAATGTCACGGTTAATGGTGGCTGAAACGATGTGACAAGGGGTGAGAATGGATACATATATGAGGCACCCCGCCCATCCATAGCCAGACAATCAATGAAGACACAATCACTTGCTCAACAGGTTATGAGCCCGGCTCGCACGATTCAAGGTTTTGAGAGATATATACCTACAGCTAAGCTTCCGCAGCAAGTGATGATCTTATGAGCGATGAAGTTAATATCTGCGAAACAGTCCAATAAGAACTCGGAACAAGACGGATCACCCTCCATCCGACGAAATCACAAACACCATAAATGTGATAGGGGTAGATATCACAGTAATAACCCCTGTGATAGGCGAATTGAAACCATGCCGAAACGGAAGGGGCAGAATTGACCCCACAACATGCGCTCTACGTCGAGCATATGAAATGACACCGAGAATACAAGAAGAGGTCAGGAAAGATGTCAACTCTAACAACAAGATCGCGAATTAACCTCCTTAAACCGCAACTACTACAAAAGAAACAGCGAAACAAAACCTACTGCTGGACAAGAGAGGAAGTAAATAATATCTCTTATCTTCGGCTAGACTGTAAGTGGACTTAGGGTTAGATTTAAAGCACGCTTTTCCCGTTAATATTAGTTAGCGCAGTTAAGATTGCATTCTTTCGCCTACCTCTTAAGGAGCGTATACGCCGCGCGTTAATTATATCCTCCTGCACCGGGGCTATTAAGCACTCCCGGTTTAAATAAGAATTAAACGCCCTATCTTCTAAGGCTAGGAAGAAATATATTACTAATAATAATAATATTACGCGTTATAACCTCTAACTAAATAAACCTATAAGTTTCCAGGGAATTAGGTTATAATACCCGGTTAACCGCTAATAATTTCCCTACTTTTCTAGGGCGTGCAAAAAACACTTTAAGCTATATAAGGCACCAGACGGAGACTATAAGCCCCTTTCCTATTTACCTACGCTAGGCTTATCTAATTGCAGCCCTTCTATTATCTTAAGCAAACTAAATAAAGCTTTAAGCCTTAAGCTTTTTAGCCTAGAGGCACACTCCGCCACCTTATTTAACTACGCCACCTCTATTACCCTAAGCCCGCTTAGTAATAAATTAGAGTTTTTTAGTATAGAAAAGCACCTAATTTTACTATAACTAATATTATAAAGTTTAAGCAATTTAGCCTAAATATATTCTATAATACTATTCTAATATTAGATAATACTAGTAACTAGTTTAGGTGGAACTAAAAGGTTAATAAATTTATCTAAATATCTGCTATTACTAAAGATAGAGCAACTCCACCTATAAAAAAAAGGGATATATAATAATAGCAGCACTGCTAGAAGTTCTATACGGCGATAATTATAGCAAAGCTAATATATAATACTGCGCAACAGATTAATACTTTTAAAATTTAATAAGTTTAATTTCTTTTATAGGTAGTTAAGGAGAACTTTAAACTAGAAGGTTTAGAAATATATATTAACCTACAGCGGCGGTATATATCTCTTATATAAGAAAAATATAGGAGTACTTAGGCCCTAAAAGCCGAGATTAGAAGGATTTATACTAAGAAACTTCTTTTTAACCCTAATTATATTATTTTAGAAATTAAGTATATATTCTTTTTTATACACGCGCTGGGCGCTAAATATAAAGGCTTCTATAATTATATTTTTAGGCAGATAAACCTTATTAATAATAGAAATATAAATAGGTATATTATTAAGGCTGCACCTATATTTAACTATATTAAAGGCAAGGTAATTAAGGAAGAATATAGAAAGG